ACCATGAGGTCAGGAGTTCAAGATCAACTGGGCCAAGATGTGAAACCCCATCTCTACTAAAAATATAAAAATTAGCCAGACTCAGTGGAACATACCTGTAATCCCAGCTACTTGGAAGGCTGAGGCAGGAGAATTGCTTGAACCCTGGAGGCAGAGGTTATAGTGAGCCACGGCACTCCAGCCTGGGCGACAGAGTGAGACTCCCTTCCTCGTGGCTCAAACCTCACGACTCTCCCAGAAGAAGCTGTGATCACCTCTTGGGGCTCCACAGTTGCCAGAGTCTCCAAGTTTTAGGGTTCTGCTGCATCCCCCTCATCCAGATCCCACTGTCCAAGGCAGAAGCCATTTGCAGCACGCCTGGACCAGCCATGGGCTGAGTGCAGAGCCAAGGCGGCATGGTATCTAGGCCGGCAGTGCGAGCTGAGCACAGCCCGCTGGACTGAGCAGGCAAAGCAAGCACATGGGCTCAGGTAAAGCCGGTGTAGAGGTGCTGCTGTCCACGCAGTTTTCTGGCTGTCAAAGTGGCACCGAAAGAAATCTGTGCCATATTTAGCTAGAAGTGTTCTTAACTCTGCCACAACATACTAGCCTGCTGCTTCCTTTCCCTGAGCCTCAGTTCTCTCACCAGTAAAATAGGCTATTGGGCTAGGTACTCAGCTTTTGCACTGTGATATGGAGATTTAGCATCCCTGGAAGCTGCTCCAAGAGTCAATGTATGGAAAGGGAATGGCCTAGTAATTTTGGTTCTTAATTCATCTCTATGGATTTGTACACATCATTTCCTTCATATAGTGAAATTTAGCACAATACATTATTTACAATATTTTGTTATTACAAGAACAGTTTGAAAGCCACTTGAATAGACTTTATAAGCATAAATTCAGCTTGAATATATTATATTTTGATTGTATTAGACACACAATAAAAATAATTTATTTTATTTTCCCAGAGTCTGAATTGGTGAGGAACAAAAATAGAAGCTACAACAAATTGTTGACAGCCTTTTTTTTTTTTTTTTTTGCCACCCAAATATCTTAAGAACTGAAACTTGAGATGTCTGTACTTTCCACGGCATAAATATACCTGGAAGTTTCTTTCCTGTTCTTCCTGGCTACTCTCTATCCAGGATAGCAATTTTTCTACATTTGAGCAAAGCAAAAAGCCAGAATCTTAAGACCTGGTGCTGGTGGCTTCTTCCCAAGGAATACGTGTTATCTTCATCCTTTCCTGAATATGATGTCAGGTTACTCAAGGTCCTCCATCATTTTGGTCATGTGTAAATTCTCTGTGTCATTTTTCAAGCCATGCTACATGTCTGCCATACCAAATACTTGCACTCCTTGAACTACAGACACACTTAGTTGATCAGTTTCTGTGTTCTTAATGATACACAATTTTTTTATTTCTCTACTAGAAACTACCTCTTTTGTTATGACAACATTAATCTTCATATATCTGTTTCAGCACATTCACAATCTGCCTTGGATTGCAAAATATTAGTATAAAAACTTCTTTGGAGTCTGCTTAGTCATAGTTTTAAATCATGGTTCTATTCTTTACTAGTTGTGAGCATCCATGCAAGTCACTTAATCTCTCAGAGCTGCAGTTTCCTCATTTGTAAGATGAGAAAAGTATACATTTTTGCATGTGTCATCACAGAAATTAAATACAGTAATGCATCTAATGAACTGTGCAATGCCTGACCCATAGTGGACCAATAGAATCTTGTTATGCTAGCTGGTTTCCTCAATAATAAATCATATTTTAATAAAAATATGTATTCTTGATAGTAAAAGCAAAATATAGCTAATAAAATATCAAAGACTATTCTTTGGTAGGTACTTCATTCATTAAACTTGACAAGCAGCAGAACACTCTATTGGGAGACAATTTTCCATGAGTATCTTGTGATTCTCAGTATCTTGTGAGTACAGTCATTAAATGACCTTTTGTTCCAGAGTATGTTTTCAATGATTCTACATAGCAAACAACCTTGGAAAATACGGATAGTATCACCAGGCAGGTTTGTTTACTATCTAGTGCAACAGATAATGTCTTTTCCCAGACCAATGTTTGGAAAGACTTACTTATAGTTTATTATAGAAAAAAAAAATTGCATTCACTAAGCTGAGGCTCTTCGCTGTGATGCTAATCCATTCTGTGATGCTAATCCATGCACAGCTTCAACTGGGCTTCTGAGGGTTGCCTCCATGAGACTTGGAAGACAAGGAGAACTGATGCAAAAATGAGACTCATGCTAATTACCGTACCATTAGTAATAAAGTCCTGTGTCTCTGATCCAGGGGTCTCATGTCTTCTGCCAGCATGCATTAAACTGTGATATGTTAATTGTTAGTTGGTTAGAAAGGTAAAAATCTCAGAACCTTCACTGTTGTTGAGATAACTGATCTGATTATGTTATGAAAAGTGATTTAGAGAAAACAACCTAAATGTCCATCACCAAAATGTGGTACATCCACACAGTGGGACACTATGCAGCCATAAAAAGAAATGAAGCACTATTGCATACTACAAAACGGGTGAACCTTGAAAACCTTATGCTAAATGAAAGAATCCAGAAACATATTGTAAGATTCCATTTATATTAAATATCCTAAAGAAGCAAATCCATAGAGACTGAGAATAGGTGAGTGGTGGTCAGTGTACAGGAAGAGGGAGGAAAGAGACTGGCTGCTAATAGGTACTAGGCTGCTTTTTGGGAAAATATTCTGCAATTAGGTAGTGGTAATGATTGCACAACATAGTAAATATGTAAAAGAGAAAGAGACAGAGACAGAGAGACAGAGAAAGAGACCCATTTGTGTTCCTGAAAAAGCAAGGATTAGGGACCAGCAGACAAAGCTTTGAATCTTGGATCTTTCTTTTGCCATTAATGCCAACTCTATAATCTCTCTATGTCTCATTCTTTATATTCACAAGTGATCAACTAATACCCACTCACAGGTTCATTGTGTATATAAAACCTGAAAATGTCTTAGTGGCTGATTCAGAGTTGATGTCTGTTAATTGGTGACTATAAAGATGAAAATGGCAACAATTTCTTCTGAAAATAAATTAACTAAAAGGAAAAAAGTGGCTACAATTCTAATACATGCTGCCATATGCTTACAAATGCATATCTAGAGTTACAGTGAGTCTACTGTGTATTTGTAGAAATATTTCTCTTACCAACGTTTAAATAAATACATTTAAAAAATAGTGTTGTTTATGTTTCTACTAGTAATTGGAAGAATCCTTTCTCATACACAGTTCTATAGTGAGGATAATACACTGTCAACAGAATTTACATGCAAATAACTCTTTAGTGTGCTTTACTTGGGAGATGTTGGATAATTAAATCATCCTGAGAATACATTTCTAATAGCTTCTCTGTGTCTGGACCTTGCTCATTTTAAGAAGTGGTATATCATTTTGTAATCAAGGTGGCAATGTCAGAAAGCCTTGTTTTATTTTTTTTAATCATTGTATTTTTTTAAAATGGTGAAATTCTTTTTCATTCATAAGACTGAGATAGGCTGACGAAATGTATTTCATGATGGTGAAATATAATTGGATGGAAACAACAGCAGTCCGTAAAGTAGTTGGGTATTAGACTGTGGTGCATTTTAATAAGTAGAGCCAACTTTACCTATATTCATTCTAAATGATGCACATTTTTACATCGTTGTGAAAATCCCAAATTGACTTTAGCCAATTGGTGCTTTAAAAGTATTTAAATATTATTTGAGAGTATCAGAAATGATAGTTATTCCTCATGGCATTTGAAATAGAACCATCAGAGCCCACTCCTCATCTGCTAGATGACAATAGGAAGATGAGTGAGTCAGGGTGACCAAGATAAAGAAATAAGGACCTGGCAAGTCTGGTTAGCAAAGGGTAAGAAAAAGAGCATCAGTGGACTTTAAATGATGCAGAAGCCAAGAGAGATCAGTGTGAGAAAGGGAGGTGGTGGGAAAATAAACAACATTTTTTAAAGGGTAGAGAATGTGTTTTTGTTTTCCTTTAGCTTTTCTCATTCAAATTCCATTTTTCAAGATCTTCCTTTCTATTCATTGTCTGTCCTTTATTCAGTATTTTCCCTCTTAATGCCTCCCAGGCTACCACCTGCTGTCCTTGTTTCTCTACATATCATTTTTCATCATCCAGTCTTTTATTTCTTTTCCAGTTTTTGCCTCAAGCCAATTTCCCAAATTGAATCTAGGGGCCTAGTTTCTCAACATCTCACATGGGAGTGTCCAGGCAGGGGCCCAAGCTAGAGGCAGCCAGGAGTGAGGGGCGTGGGCAGGAACTCTATACCTGCCTCAGTTCAATGATTCCTGGATGCAGGCAGCCGTGGGGGCTGCAGAAAGGGTCCTTGGAGAGAGCTTCACTGTGCCAGTTTTAAATGCTGCCTAGGTCTGGTGTTTAGTCCCTCACACAATGACTGCAGACCCTGACACAGTTCCAAATATACTGCATTGAATGAATACAACGTCAAAGGAAGATGCAGCTGCTTTGGAAAAGGCATTGTGGCCTTGATGCCTGTCTCCAACTCTGTGTAAACACTTACCTTCCTACGTGATATTCCAAAGCTCAGTCCATATTGTGAAAGTCTGAGATACAAGAATATATTTTTTAAGATCTTTTAAAATACAATTTAAAATTTTAGTAGAGGTACAATTATTTTTAATAATTATTTTTACATTGCAAGTAGAAACAATTTTGCAATTATGAAAGCATATTAGTGTCTAGGGCTGTTGTAACAAAGTATCACACACTGGATGGTTTAAAATGTATTTTCTTTAAATACACTTAGGGGCACCCTATGTATGTGCCTACATCTAAATTTTCTCTTATGAACACATTAGTCATATTGGATTCAGGGCCACCTTAATGTCTTCATTTTAACTTAATTATTTCAATAAAGACTCCCATCTACAGAAAGCCATATTCAAGGAAATGGGTGTTAGGATTTCAACATATGATATGTATATATAAAATGTCAGACAGGGTAATGTGCCAACGTTATAATAACTTTAGCGAGAGGCACGTATCACACGTGAGCATTGAGACACAATCATCATGTTTATGTACAACAGAAGGATTATGTATTAATTTTTTGAGGGGAATGCAATTTATTCCATAACAGGTAGTGATATAAAATTTCATTTCAAAACATTTAAATAAATATTTTAGCTAAAAATTAAGTAAATATTAAGTATAAAGCACTAAATAAGAATGAACTCTCCTCTCAAACATTTTAGCTAAAAATTATTAAGTAAATAATAAGTATAAAGCACTAAATAAGAATCAACTCTCCTCTAATTAAAAGTTATGTCAGTAATGCAGTAGAATATAACTAACGGAAGTTTGTAACATGCAGATCTAGTGAAATTTCATATCTAAAGTCATTTAAGTACCTAAAATAGTACCTGGCACTCTATAAATAGTTGTTGAATAAATAAAGAAATCTCTTAGGATAGGTTGAGAAGAAAATAGAAGAATGGTGAAATTAGAAAGAAGTGTTATTAAGCAACCAGATAGAAAAGTCAGTTTCAACCAACACCCCCCAACTCACATTATGGAGAAAATATATCATGTGCTCATTTGTTGTAAATCCTCTTTACCAGGATAAGTGGTAGTAAAAAAATATTTTTAAAAGATGTGTTTCTTGTCTTTGAAAGCATTACAACCTAGTAGAAGAGAAATAGGCTCACATAGAGGTCTATACAAGGCTACTTATATATTTACCACATTAAAATATAAAATCTTCCCCTCCCAAAGAGAGCCATTTCATGTGATTATTGTCTGTTTTAAATATATGATCAAAAATTTCCCTGCCTTGGTGAACTGCCTCTTACTTCCCTTTGTCTCTTATGTTTCTCCACCGTGTAACTAGATATTCCACCTCACATTCACATTCTTATCCCCCCATCTAAGTTTGGCTTCCATAAACACACACACACACACACACACACACACACACGTACCTGTGTGTGTGTGTGTATGTGTTTATGGAATCCAAATGCTCTCTCTCTCTCGCTCGCTGTCTCTCTCAGAAGAGAGAGAGAGAGACAGTCTCACACTGTTGCCCTTGCTGGAGTGCAATGGCACAATTTCAGCTCACTGCAACCTCTTCCTCCAGGGTTCAAGTGATTCTCCTGCATCAGCCTCACAAGTAGCTGAGATTACAGGTGCCTGCACCACACCCGACTAATTTTCTGTATTTTTATTAGAGACTGAGTTTCTCTATGTTGGCCAGGCTGGTCAAACTCCTGACCTCCTGAGCCTCCCAAAGTGCTGGGATTACAGGCGTGAGCCACTACGCCTGGCCATAAAAAACATATTTCTTTTTTTTGTAATTTTTGCTCAACTAATATTCTTTCTCATATATGTCATATATGATAAAATATATCATATATATATATGATTCACTTCTCAGTTTAAGAAAATTGTTTCTCAAATGGTATTAGTATTTGTAAGTTTATATAAATTTGGAATCTCTCTCTTTCTATTTCCAAATAATCTAAATAATCAGCAATTCAATGAAGGACAGAGTTTAATAATGTAGTACATAAATAAATAAATATATTATAAAGATAATAAGAGCTACAGCTCATGGACCTAAATCTACTAGTTGTTCATGAGGAAACAATGGAATATAATGGCTAACAAGGCAAATGAATTGCGTTTCCAGCATAAAATAGTTATTTCAAATAAAAATGTACAGTTACAGCAAGAAAAGTGGTGACACAAACTAAGTATGTTACATTTTTAGCATTTTCTGGCCCAAATTATACAGCATCTTGTTCAACTATTCATATTTTGCATGATGTTAAACAGGAATTCTTAATTTTGGTGGCACAAGCCTAAACTAGAATTACTCTTTTGAATAGCATCTATGTAATATATATTAAATATTACATATATCTATGTAATATATATTAAATATTACATATATTATATCTATGTAATATATATTAAAATTCATATTGCAATAGAATCTACTCAATGACCAATCAAGCAGTCAATAGGAAAAAAAATTATTGATGCACACAATAACACTGATGATTTTCAAATGCATTGTGCTAAGTGAAAGAAGGCAGTCTATAAAGACAATCTTAACTGTATGATTTCATTTAGGTGACTTTCTTGTAAGCACTAATCTGTATGGACACAAAAAGTTTTATGTTTGCATGGACTAAACACAGAAGAAGGTGTTGATTTTAAAAGGAGCATGGGGAATCATTTGAAATGATGGAAGTATTCTCTATTTTTATTATGGTGATTTCTACACCACTGAAAGAGTTTGTCAAAACTCATAGAACAGTAAGCCAAAGACAGTGAATTTTACTATGGTAATTATACCTCAACTAACCTGACAATACAATTTAAGAAAAAGGCTGGCAAATTAGGGATTAAAAACAAGCACTCCATATGTGTAAAGACATCAACAGGCATTTCATAGAAGAATAAGTTAAAAGAAGAAATAAAAGTTATTCAACCTCATTAGTAATCAAATAAAATTTAAAATGATAATTTGATTTAGTTTACCATAAAATCTGGCTTATGCCCTGGAAAATATATTTTTATACATTTATAATAAGCATAAAATTTGTTAAAATGTTTAAATGAAGAAGTACAGCAATATGCATCATAATCCTAAATTATATATGCATTTAGATCCAGCAGATACACTAGGGAAAAAGAAGCTTTAAATATTCTAACATGTATTAATAAAGATATAAATTCTAACAGGAGAAATAGGTAACATATTGAAAGTCCAAAAAAAAGAGAATGGACAAAAGTAATTCAGTACATTTATAAAGTGAAAAATAATATGGACATCAAAACGAGAGTGTAGATATAAAATTTTTATTGGCATAGAGAGATTTTTCAGGATATATTGTGGGTAACATTTCAAAAAACAAAATATATAATTTGTACCTGTGTTAGGCTATTCTTACATTGCTATAAATACCTGAGACTGGGGAATTAATAAAGAAAAGAGATTTACTTCACTCACAGTTCTTCCGGCTGTACAGGAAGCATGGTGCTAGCATCTGATTAGCTTCTGGTGAGGGTTTCAGGGAGCTCTTATTCACAGAAGACAGTGACAGGGAGCCAGCACATCACATGGTCAGAAAGAGAGAGAGTAAGGGGACGTCCCAGACTTTTAAACAACCAGACCTCATGTGAGCTAAGTGGGCAAGAACTCACTTCTTACCAAGGGGATGGTACCAACCATCCAGGAGGGATTCGCTCCATGATCAAATCACATCCCACTAAGGTTCCAACTTCAACATTGGGAATCATATTTCAAAAAAAGATTTGGAAGAGAAAAACATCCAAGCCATATCAGTACATTATGATCATTTTTCAGGCATATATATATATATATATATATATATATATATATAATTCTATTTTATTTTATTTTATTTTTTTATTTTATTTTATTTTATTTTATTTTGAGACAGAGTCTTGCTCTGTCGCCAGGCACCAGGCTGGAGTGCAGTGGCGCGATCGCGGCTCACTGCAACCTCCGCCAACGGGAGTCAAGCAATTCTCCTGCCTCAGCTTCCCGAGTAGCTGAGACCACAGGTGTGGGCGCCACCACACCCAGCTAATTTTTGTATTCTTTAGTAGAAATGGGGTTTCACCATGGTCTCGATCTCTTGACCTCGTGATCTGCTTGCCTCGGCCTCCCAGAGTACAGGCGTGAGCCACCGCGCCCGGCTTCAGGCATATATTTTAAGTGTATGTAAAGATCTATCTATCTATCTATCTATCTATCTATCTATCTATCTATCTATCTATCTATCTTGATATAAATACAAATATATAACAATAATTTGTCCTTATTTATACCACTATATTTTCCTAGATACAACATATATATCTCCTAAAAAGAAGTTCAAATAGTACATATCATGCTATTTTCTTCATTTGACTTGCATCGACTTTCTGAGTAATTTATTTTGTATGTAGGGTATACAATCAGATCATGATGTTGAGGCTCAGCAAATAATACCCCAGAGTGTGATTTGTTGGCATGCTGAACACTTTTAATTGTTAAAAAAAGAAAGAAAGAAAGAAAGAAAGAAAGAAAGAAAGAAAGAAAGACCTTAGGATCTGCCTCAAAACCAAATATTCTCCAATTTGCTCTTGTCTCTCTACTCCCAGTTCTCTTTGGAATTTCCTTTCTTTTCAAAGGAAATGCAATTTTCTCAAGACCTCCTCCCTAGGAATCTCATCAAATAAACAGGAAAGATTTGGTACCTGAGAAAAAACAGAAAGCTGTGACCATGCCCAGACAGACTATTGATTTATTCTCTTGAGTGCAGCTGTGAGAGATTGTCTTCAGAGACTTTATCTGCATAGTAAGACAGCCTTTGTTTGCGGCACAGTTCTGCCCCTCATCATCCCACTACTTCTTCCATTCAGCTTCCACAGAGAATCATTTAAAAACCATTCTCTGGTCTTTGAGCTCATTTAATTTCTCTGAAAATAATCTACTATTCCTCAAAATTGCCAATATCGCCCATTTTTTCTTTCCCTCATAAATAATGCATTTAAGCCTAAACTATCTTGGATGGGTTTTTTGAGTATCATTGTTATAGGACTCCTGTGTCTACATGCATGTTAGTAAGTGTATATAAAACAGCCTTTTCTGTTAATTTGTCTTATTGTTAGGTGACTTCAGCAGACATTTAGGGGGCAGAAGTGAGGTTTAACACTTGTTCATACACTAACATAGAATCATAACTATGTAAATTAAATAAATGAAATATATCTAAAACAGACCAGAATAAAATTCTCCAATTATTATTATTATTATTTTTTAATTGACAGAATAAAAAGATTGATCAAATATCTCATTGTTGAAATATAACATGTAAACTCAGGAACACACACACACACACACACACACACACACACAAACACACACCCCAGCACGATCTTTAGGGAAATAAAAATAATATGATGACTATATCTTTGCCAGAGTTTTATTTTAGTATACATTATGCGCATGTTTGATGCAGACCACTGAATTTCAGAATCAAATCCTAAATAGCATAATTTATAACCTGTGACCTCAGAT